CTAATGTAATTGTTATTTTATCTCTACCTCTCCATTTTTTTTTATTTAATTTATTTTGTTCTTGTTTGTGTTTTTTTGTTCATTTTCAAATTAAAAAATAAAATGTGCTTATTTGTAATGTTTTATCAAACTATTCTTTGAGTTCCAGAATTTGTACAAGTTTCACAAAAATTTTCTGGTATATCGAAAGTAATCTTTTGAGAATAAAATATAATGGGTGGCTTGATTTATTAAAACCATAAATATTCTTGGTCACCCTTGTTTCTATAGGCTTGAATAAAGCCTTCCAAATTCTCCAAAAATTGCTATTTTTATTAAGTAATTTTAATAAGTAATTGCTTAAATTATTAGTGCAAAACTTAAATTTTAAATTCAAAAAATCCTGTACGTTATTAAGAGAGAGTACTTTTTGCATTTTAAAGTTATGGAACAAATTTTTAATCCTATTTTATTCATCCCTGTATACATGAGAAAAATTTCCTAAAATTGAATAAAATCTCAAAGGTGGAATATGTAATACAATACGAATTCTCATTAAAAAATATTTCTCTTCCTTTCATTTAAAAAAATAACTACTGGCATACCAGTAATAGCGGGAGTATTTCAAAAATAATTTTTCCACCATGCCAAATTAATTATTTCTCTGTACTCTTCTTCTCACTCTCTTTTCCATTGTATTAAAACATTTAATATTTTTTGTAATTTTGAATTTTCAAAATAAATTAACAGTTCATTAATAAGGAATGTGCTTCCTTGCAAACCTTTATTTTTCATTTCAACTTTTTATTTTTTGGTTAGTTTACCATTAATGTACTCGTACATCTAATCCAGTATACAAATATCAAAATAAAAAAAAATATTTTTTTTTTTAAATTGAGAAAAGTTCTTTTAAGTTTTTTGTTTTTGTTTTCTTTTTCTTTCCTTATACTTTTATTAGAATAACAGAAAAAATAGCATTAGATTTCGGTACAGTATATAAATTTTACCCCCTTTCATTTGTAATAGCTCAAGATGTTCACCTGAATTATTTATTTTATGACTTTATTATGTACACAAAAGTTGTAAAACCAAAATGAATAATTTTTGTTTTTATTATCATGAAAAGGTGACAGAAATTTTTAAATGGACGAACTTGTTTAATTAGTTTCAGTTATTGTATTTTTGAATTTCAATCCGTTGACGGTAATTAAGGGAATCCCGCGCATTTGAATTTTTTCGATTTGCATTTTATTTTCCACAAATTTTAACGAAATTCCCGTTTATTTAATTATGTTTCTCTTAACTGCCCTAAAAAAATTAATTTTAAATTAAATACTGCATTTTATTCGTTTATTTTTATAAGTTCAATTGTGTTTAATATATTTTAGGATTTTTAGGACAACAAAATGTTGTTAAATAGCTCGAACTTAAGCTCTAGAATCTATATTATAAACCCAAAATTCATCATCGTAACATGACTTTTTGATTATAATCTAGCAGCATGATCTAATTTACATAAATTTGGTTTTATATCAGTACAATAATAAATTATTCCTAATTAGAAATTCAACTGTTAAATCTTATTATTTTTTAACTTACATTAAAAATGTTAGAATTTCTAAAAGCAAGTTAAACCAATAGGTTAATGAAAATGGGTATATCACAATGAACTGTAAGGTTATATTTTATTAAATAGGTGACTTAAAATCACAATTAAGATCTTATCACATTTCGAAATACTTTTTAAATATAGGCAAAATAATTTATTCAAAACTAGTTGGTCTCTCTATCCGTAAATTATTCAGTACCTATAATAATATGGCCAACCACAATTTTCTTTTTTTTCGCTGCTTTGCGTATATAATGAAATATTACTAAAGATAAACTTGAAGTGCCCTTTAAACGAGAGTTGATTAAATGGAAGAAAAATTCAATTACTTCCGTATAATTTACATAAATGTCCACATTTTATTATGGTTTTATTTACATATTATGTAAATAAAGCAAATAATAATAAACAATGATTTAAGGGGAATATAAACTCAGAAATGTGTAACTTAATATTTATTGTAAGACATTCTAAAAAAAATAATTCGGAAATAATATGTACATATCTACCTATATACGAGTACCATGCTATTTTAAAAACTAAATACATTATAATGTTATTATTTTTCCGAGGAAATAAATTATACGGAATAACCAATTTAAAAAAATTGCAAAGATAGTTTTCAGGACATTAATATTTTAGTAAATAAAAATTGAATTTTTGTTTAAACATTTGATTTATAAATTGAAAGTTTTACATATTTTAAGTTGATGTAAATATTTTGCAGACTTTTAGGGGTCTTAATGAAAATAAGGACTGAATTAATAATTTTCAATTATAAAAGTTACTCGTACTTGTTTGTCTTAAAGATTATAACAAAAATTGGATATTCTAACGGATGTGATTATGCAAGAATTTTGCATAAATCGAACTGGAAAATTTTTGCATTATTTCAATTTTTTCAATCTTGCTTTTTGAACTAAAAATTTTTCACTTAAGTTCTAATCAAATTCAATTTAAAAATTTTTCACTTAACATTTTCCTGTTGAAGTTAAAAAACTTTTAGCACCTTTTAGCACTTTTCCAAAAAACAACAAAAAAAATGTAAAAGAGGGCTTATCAATATCCGTCCTTCCGCCTGTTTACAAAATTTATACACTCTTTATTCCACAAACCTTTTAAGTTCCACAAGTGCAAAGAGGTATGCTTCAGTTATCCATCATCAATTACTTTCAAAGTTTAACCAGCTTTTAGACACTAATAAATTATTTATTTCATTAGAATAATTTTTTTTTTCCTCTCTCTGCTGCTCCAAGTTATCACCGATATTCAATAAAAGTAAAACAGTAAATACCCTGTCATTAAAAAATATATTTCAACTTTTTAACCATCAATTTAGTTAACCGTCGAAATCGATCATAATATTTTTATCCTAAAAGTATGCAATAATTTTAAATATTTTAGTATATTAATTATATTGTAATTTAAATCGCTAATACATTGTTTCTAAGAAACTTTTTAAACTTTTCAAAGGCTTAAAACCAATAACTTTTTCAAAGGAAAATGTGCTATTTAAAAAACCTCAAACTAATGTTTTTTGACAGAACGAGTCCGGACTTATCGATTTGTGTATCAAACAATTGGAAATTTAAATTTATTTTAAATTTATTTTTTAACTAATTGTGAATAAATGTAATGGTTACAGTAAGGTTAGCAGATATTGATCCTTAGCACTAAAATTTTAATAGTAGCCGTTATCAATTTTACTAACTAAGGTATTTTTTCCACATGCCACCCCGATCTTACTACTTATACTAATACGTCTAATTAAAATTCACCTAGAATCCAAAATCAAGAAGTTTTGAATTTTAATTTTTTTTTTTGTAAATATTTTATTCTCAATTTCACCCTTCAATATTCTTAATATTTAATGTCAACAATTTGTAATTAATATTATTTACATATGAATATACTATGTATAGATAGATGTGTGATCTGATAATAAAATGTACATAAATATACAAAAGATAATATTTAATGTATGCATATAATAATGATATAGATACATACATAATTATTTAAAACACATATTTTCTAAAAGATTTAATCTCCTTCTATTTCAAGACTAATTTGTCTCCAAGATGATTTTTAAAATCAACAAAAATATTTTTTATATAAACAAAATACATAATGTATTCCATGATACTTAATTTGAATTTCTAATATTATGTTATTCTCGTACATTATAGGAGTATGTTTATATTGCATATATGTATGTATATGTATGTGTTTCTAATAAAGTAAACAATTTAATTTAATATGTACGTACATCAAGTTAGGAAAAATAAACTTCAAAATTTAATATGAAAATATCATTTACATATAAAAACATAATGAAAAAAACAACAATAATGTTTGTATGTATATTGTACGTGTATTGAGTTTTTAATTTAATTAGATTGATGAAAATTTATGTAAATTTTCTTAAAAGTGTTAAGTTGTTAAATGTCAGAATACAATTTTGTTTATATAATGTTTTAAATACAATCTTGTTTAAATAATGTATTATACATAAGTAAATTAACATTTTAAAAGCGTATTAATTAGACTACACATACGGGGTGATTCAGAAAGTTATGTAACAATATTAAATTATTGATTAATGGATCAAAAATTGATAAAACTTTTGCTTAGAAGTGGATTCCGAATATCAACGATTTTGGAGATACGGAGATTTTAAAATTTTCCAATTTTCTTTTTGGAAATTTCAAAAAAAAAATTTACAGAATATTTCCCTATTACTTAAGCTCTTATTTCAACCGTCAAACATTTAAACCCTCTTTTACTCCAGGAAGCGTTCTAAGAAAACATTAGAGTGTCAAATATGTAGTTTATTTAGAACCCAATAAGGTTTGGTTACTAGGCCGTCACCCCGTGATCTCTAGGCCGTCATTAAACATACGATTACAGGTGGCCTATCTAAGCCACCACGTTCTCTTGCGCAATCTATATAAGTTCCGATGCCAGTTTTGGATATCTCATCTAACCTCCCTAGACATGCTTTGTCCTATGTGACTACTGTTGTTATGCCCAGAGTGGGACACCCGCAGATATAGTGAAAAGTGGTCTGTTTCTTGTCAATTTCTTAATAGCTGCGACATGTTGTGTTGAAAAGCCAATCCCGCATAACAATCCCCAGCCAATCCCGCATTCTCCCCGAACACACAATGTCCCGTGTAGACTATCGTCAGGCACGTAACGTCCTTGCGAGACATCGCCAGAAGCCAGTCTGATTTTCTAAGGCAGTATTTTAACCACATTTTTTTTGCTGTCCCGCACGGTTTTCCTCGTGCCGTCGACCCAATAAAGTTTATTAAATAAAAAATTTAAATTTAAAAAGGAAATACATTTTCAAATATAACTTTATAATCTTGTTAAATTAAAATTTTTTTCCTTTATTTTTTCATTGCAGATTAATTATGGTCACCTTCAGAATCTTCAAAACAATTTTAAGGTAAGAATTAAAAAATATTGATAGAATTCACCAACGTATTTTAAATTTTTATTCCATTCTGTTCTTACAAAGCATTTAATACTACACAAAGAATACATTTTGAGACAGCGAACTTTGCTTTCGTTGCTGAATGCAAGGACAAAACTTATATTATAAATGCATAACTTTTAAATGGAAACTCATTTTTCAAATTAAGTGGTGGTCTCAAAACAAATTTTGTTTAATTTTTTTTTTATTTTACGTGATTAAAATTTTAAACATTATAGTCAAAGAAAATTTAAGTATATAAAAGAAAAACGATATTTTAAAAATAAATTTTCATTTTGATATTTAATATTTTTTTGCAAAATATTCGATATGCTATTAAAAAAGCACGAGGAAAATACAAAGAAATTTAAATGAAATTTTCCAATAGAAAATTAAACTTTTGTTCTAGTTGGATCATAATTTTTATTGGATTGTGCTGAATAGAACAGCTTTTTGAGATACAATAGATCTGTTGGTATTTAACACTGTACTGAAAAAATAATCTACCTTAATCACCTATTGATATTTTACCTTAATCATACATAAAGGTTGATATTGTTGGGAATGAATTAAATTTTGTTCTTCATACAATTTTAAATCTACTGGGGCTACAAAATTATCATAGCACAGTTTGACTATACTAATTGATATACGAAATTAGTGATTTTTATTAATATAGGGAACCAAAGGTATTTAATACTGGTGTTTTGTTTAATAATAATTTTCTGATTTAATAATAGTCTTCTTTCTTCTGTACAATAATGTATTGCATTATGTTCCGATTAGTGTTAAATTGAATTCTTAATTCTTTTCTTAATTCATTGTGTCGTTGGCGTGCCATTAACTAACTATAACATTGTAATAAAATGATAATAAATAAATTAATTGTAATTAATAAATCAGAAAATGGTTTTTAAATTGTATAATTCATTCATAATTCCCTTGAATACCATAAAACCCAAATTCGCGTAAAACTTTCTTTATAAATTTTTTACGATTGCTTACACAACGTACACTGCTTATACTCTTAACTCTGATTGGAGTATTTTTAACCAGATTATGTGTTTAATAGAAGCAAGATTAATATCAATGTCATTATTCTTAGTCATATTTTATTTATTTCATTTTTAATAATCTTTTATTTCTGAAATAAAATTTTCTTTACTATCATTATCTTTAGTTCGCTATTCGCTTTGGAAACTTTTTAACAGTTTGAATAAAAATTATTATATACTCGTAATTTAGTATTTAATGAGTCACTGCTTCTTCTTTTTCTGCTTATGTTTTTTTTTTTTTGTAAATCTTCTCTCATTTTTCAGCTTGTTTCCAAGTAAGTTTGCGAAAATCTTTATTAAGTTCCCGATTTCATTTCAAAATTATCTCTCAAAGTATATTTTATAAATGTTTGCTAGAACAAAAAATTATTCTTTTTAAATACTGTGCTGTGTTGCCATACAGACGAATGTATAGTAGAATTTAATTACTCTATATTATTTATAATGCGAAATATGAGAAAGATTAATTATGGAAAATTATTATAACTTTATTTGCACGCTGCGTTGTTTCTTTTATTCATTTTGATCATCTCTTATATATTGTTAGAATTTCTACATTATAATATTATTATTGTAGTGAAATGATAAATGCAACATTTTTAATATTTAATTATTTTTGAGTTGAAATGAGTTTTTAATAATTTGTCTTCACAGAGCTCTTCGTTATTTTTACAATTATGTATACACTAGAAACAAGTTTATAAAAATTTATATTAGAACTCTTAATATTTTATCATTTTTATACTTAAACTTCAAATAAATTAAAAGAGATAAATATTTTTAATGCTATGTGAAATTGGAGAATTAAAGAAATAAATTTTATTCAAAATAATTTTTCTTTGTTTTAATTTTGAAAATTTTAAATTATACGCTAATTTATTTTCAAGTTATACTCGTATTAAGCCTTCAACATTATGAAAAAGTTATATTTAAAAATAATTTCGCCGAATATAGATGATAAAATTTTCGTATTTTTTTCATTAAATTTCAATTATGTGCCAGATATTAAATTTTTCGAGCGGTAAAGAACATTTCTTTTTTCCTCTTCTGAAATTTCTCTTGGTCCTAAAATTTCTCCGAAAGTTCATCATCAATGAGAATTATTTCAAATAGAATGCAAGCTTTTTATAACAAAAAATATATTGCAAAAAAATTGAAAATTGTTAAGATTTTAATTGAATTAAGTTCCGTTTTATCGAAACAAATTAATGTTCCCCCAAAAATATGCAATTTTTTTGAATTATATGAAGTGTCCATTTCCATTTTTTTTTTAAATAAAATTTTGCAGGCAATTTTCTGCTAATTATCTTAGAACTAGTTTACTTCGTGTTTCTTTTACATCAACTCTGTTATTATTGCAAATTTATAAGGTACCCTAAATTAAATTTGGAACAGCTAATTTTTAATTTTTATTTCACCAATTATTTTATTATTTTTAACGAAAATTTGTTTATGAAATCTTCAAGGGATCATTACTTTCCCTACAATCATTATTCAAATATCTTACAGGTATACAGAATACTTAATATACACCTTATACTACCCTGAATATTACTTTTATGTTAAATTAACAACAATATTTAATCGTATTTGCATGTGACACAATCCTAGCTTTAAACTTAATTAAAATTTTCTACATTCTCTCTGTACCGTATCTCATGTTCTTAATACTACATTCTTAAATTTTCTCATACCTTGTTACTCCTATTTTAACATTATCCTATCTCATAACCATTTTACATTTGCTCATATTAAGTTGTCATTACTCATTATCGATTGTCTCAAATTTTGCTTTCTAGGAATTTTTATATTTTTCAAAAATCCTTACCAAATTTAAAAAATAAGAAATATTCATAATCCTTTTCATGAGATTTCAGTTTTCATAATAATATTGATTATTCTTTTAATTTTTTTTTTTTGCCCCCATTTTCTCCAATATAAAGGGTTAAATTTTGTTTAGATACCAAAATAAGATTATGATATTTTGAAATGTTTTCTCATCATGATTAGAACTTTCCTATCTCAAATAAGAAAAAATTCCTTTTTTTATATAGAATAGAATTTTTGCAAAATTGAAAAAAATATATAAAAAATTAAGTTTTTTTGGGAAAACTAGCTTTTATCTCATTAAATATTTGGGTAGAAACGAAAGAATAAAATAAAATCAAGATGTCGACGATCAAGATGTTATCCTTAATCGTTTTTCGATTTCAATACCAATAGAAATAAAAATAGTTGAAGAAAAATGAAGAATATTAAAAGGAGAGAAAAACATGACAATCATAGTAATCATATAATGTCAGTAATAAAAATAATAATAATTATAATAAAACAGTAATAATAAAAATAGTAATAGATGATTAAAAAAAAATAATATTTTCGTTAGCAATTCTTAGAATTGCTATAAAAAAAAATATTCAAAATTTTATTGAAATTATCAGAAATATTGATGTAAGATGGTGGAATTTTTGATGGTGAATATAAGATGGTGTTTTTAAATTCGTAATTCCCTATCATTCTCGAAGATAGGGAAAATTCAAAAATCAAAAATGTTGTTAAAAAAATGTTTGATTTCTAATTAAAAATTTTGTTCTTTAAGATTGCGGCTTGAGCTTTTTATTGGTTTGTAAACATTTGGAAGATGCTGTTAAAATTGAAACAATTTGTGAGTGAACCTTAGGTGTAAAAATATCATCTCATTTTTAAACAGATCTTATGAAAGAAGTGCAGCAAAATAATAATTTAGAAGAAGCATTTTCCAATGCGTCTTTTTTGTGCAATGCAAAAATAAGTTCTTCCTGTACAAAGTCCTTCCTGTATTTTTAAATTAGAAATTTTTAATCTTGCATCCAAAAAAAATGTTTGCGTTTATAGATATTGCACGTGATCCATTTTATAAAAACAAATAATTTTAATTTTATAAATTTTTCGGGAAAATTAAAAATAACAATTCAGTTTTCACTAAAATCAAACATTGGAAATATTTATTAAAGAATATGTGAAGTACTTTAGAATGTCATGTTGAATTCTAAGGAGACTTTAGGAGCTTCATCCTAAGGTTAGCAATACAGTAGCACAATTTCGCAATTAAGTTTAGTAGAATTATTATTTTACCAAGTTTAAATAAATCGTTTCAAAGATAATCGAAATTTAAGCAATGCCTCCAAAAAGTTTGAATTTATCATATACATATGCCTAAAATACCACCAAATATACTCGAAATACTTATAACCAATCATTACACAATGTAAAACATCTGTATACCGATTCATATGACTTCATTTTCCTCATTTCAAATTACATAAAGATTAATTTTTATATTTTAAGAGATTCCCTTCCATCTTATTTGAAGAAAATTTTCCAATTTAACCTATTAATTTTAATTTCTTATGTAAAATCATTTTTGTTCATCTGTTACAAATTGAAAGGGATGCGTGTATTACAGTTTTATAATGTTTTTTTATAAAAAAAAAATTATTTTAACTGTCTAAAGGCTAAAAAAAACTCTTGTGTGCCATACCAGAATTTTTTTTTTGTTTTGTTCGTACACAATGTGGAATGAGAACAAAATCTTATAGTTATGGGTTTTAAAAGATGATGATAATTTTAATGATAATGATCATAAAAAAAAAAAGATGCTTCTGTTTTTCCTACTCATGATGACGATAGTAATTTCTTTCTGCAAGAAACAGAGAGAAGAAGCAAAATCTACTGAAAGAGGAATAAACAAATTTAATCCAAAACAAAGGAGTATGGGTATACATTAGGGTGGGTCATAGAAGATTTTCTTTCGAAATCAACGTTTAGTACTAAAATATTTTTTACTCCAAAATTCAAAGATCATTACGAGTCCGAAAAATCTTGATAATTTGTTTTCATTGTAAGAAATGATCTCCGAGTTTCATATGAATTTTTAAAGTACTATTTTGGTCATTTAAATTTTAATATTAGATTTTAGTAATATCCTTCAGTAATTCCTTAATATGTGTTAATTAATCGCGTATGCAATTGCCATTAAAATCTGGAAAGAATCCTACT